CCCACGCTCTTTCTGCGGGCTAAGGAAATGCTTATCTCCCCGAGCGCGGCCTTCGCCATACCATTCCATTCCAGGTAGACTGCCACTCAACAGGGATGCTCCATTGGGCTAGCCAAAGCTCCCCCAATAAAGGGTCGTGACTAGCCATGCCTATTGTGGGACCCATGATGGGAGGAGGTAAGCCCCCCCCACAACACAGCATTGTCCATTAAGGGGGGGGGGTCAAAACAGTTGATGTAGGTAGGGTATCACAGTCCAAACCCCTCCCTTTTGTATCTGTAGCATATTTACAAATGGGTAAATATATCTGCCATCTTCCCTGCTTTGACCCCCCCCAACATCACTGCGTGACAACCATTTTGTGAGCGCGCCCACAATTCCAAGGGCATCTGTTGGCTGGAACAAGACGGGAAACCTTTCTTAGCAGAGCAGAATCGCCCCTAGTTTCCTGCCCTAAATTAAGTTAGGGGAAAAGAGGAGGTGATGGGTAAGATCCAATGGCTTGGGGCGGGATCAGCAAGATCACCCCGTGGCCCCCAACTCCATTTCCCAGCCCCCCAGAGCCCCCCCCAGACTGAGCCACGAGAATTCAGTGGCCAATTTTCAGTCGCACCACTTGCCACCAAAATAAGGGTGGGGTTGGCGTGATGAGTCCCCTCAAGGAATCTACGCCCATCCTTAAAACGTCCAAACGGGGGCATCTCTGGGGGAAGGGGTCAAAAAAGTCAGGATGGTGGTCACAACCAGGCGGTTGAAGCTCCACCCCTCTTCACACGTAGGCTTTAATCACCCAGTGGTGGCTGCCACCTTATTAATTAATTAATTAAATCTGCATGCCACATATCTCCCCCAATGGGTGACTCCAGCCAGCTCTTCGACTTGTTCTCCTTCATCTTGACTTTTTTGACCCCGCCTTGCGGACAGCCCTGCTCCCAAAGCCGTCCAGGCCGGGCCAAATATTTTCAACCCCACCCTGGTCCCCGAAGACGGGGAAGAAACCAGACGAGGCTTCGTCCTGCGCGACTCTGTAGTTACCTTCGTGGAAATTGCAATACACGCCAACGACGTCGGGGACCGGGATGTCCAAGATCTTGGCCTTGTTGTTATGTTTGGCGGTGAAGCTGACTTGCAGCCAGTTGTTGAGATGAAGGCACCAGGAGGAGGAGGTTTTGCCCAGCTGGTCAAACTTGCCCAAAGTCCGGTAAGCCACGCCCACCGCAAAGGCCTTGCTGTCCCGGTCATAGCGCACCTCCCAGTAGTGATCGCCGCTGTCAATCAAGGTGTCTCCTGCGATGGAGCACAAAGAAGGAGTCGTGGATGGGAGGCCGGCGTCGTCGATGCCTTTGATTGACTCAGTGTTTCTCCACCTGGAGAACTTTAAGACAGGTGGACTTCAACCCCCAGAATTCCCCAGCCAGCCTTGCTGGCTGGTGAATTCTGGGAGTTGAAGTCCACCCGTCTTAAAGTTCCCCAGGTGGAGAAACACTGCATTGACTGATAAATCCGTTAACTTAATCTGTTAAATTAATCCGTTAATTTAATCCATTAAATCCTGGGAGCGGCTAGCACCTCGGTGACACTCCCTGAGCGATTGCCAATTATTCTTGGATCTATTTATTTTCTATTTATTATGGCAATTTTGTCATTTTGATTGCTTTTAACTGTTTTGTAAACCGCCCAGCGTCGTTCAACGAGACGGGCGGTGACCAAGTTGATATAGAAACAAATGAACAAACTTGCTTTGCATGGGCTAAAACAAACCCCAAGGGCTTTCCCTGAAACGCACAGGCTGAGCTGGCATGGTAGCTTTCAACCGGGCTCTCGAACTAACCCTTTTCAGAGCTCACCCATTCACCCGAGACTTCGCTTGACCAAATCGCCTGGGGGCACAAAGACATACAAAATGAATCCAGGTTAGCCCTAACCAAGCTGAGCAGGCTATTCCGCCCACAGACTGAATCCGTGATGGCAGAGTGATGTTCGTGGGTGCCAAAAGTCCCAATTTTGGGGCAGGCGGAAAAGGAGGGCGGGCGCCGCAAGGAAAATGCCAGGCTCGGAATCCAAAAGGCTGAAAAGATTGGCCACACCCATTCTGGTGATGTCATGACACCCTGGCCACACCCCCAGGTGGTTCTCAGAGCCCAATGCAGCATTTCTCCACCTTGGGAACTTTAAGACGGGTGGACTTCAATTCCCAGAATCCCCCAGCCAGCCACGG